TGCTACAAAGGTTCAACTTTCCATCGCGTGGTTAAAAGCTTCATAATTCAAGGCGGAGACTTTAGCGAAGGTAGATGAAACGACCTCACCCCAAATTGGAGGAGAGGTTTCCATTGTAATTAAAAGGTTGCCCAAATTTATCAGTTGCCTGCAAAAAGTATTATGAGGTGTTTGAATCTATATCTAGAGTAAATGATCCTTTCTTTCTTTTCTGGAAAAATAAATAGATTAGGTATGTTGTTAGCTCTCATATTACATTATAAGAATGGTAACTTTAAGGGCAGGTTACATCTGGAATTAAACCACTAGTTTTTTTAAAAGGCATTCTAATTAGAGTTTTATATAAGGTAAAATCCTATCCCCATCTGATTCTAAAATTTAGCCTGAATATTATTATTATTGTCGTTGTTGTTATAATATGTAGTAGTTAATCGACCTACTGTAATGGAGCCTGCTTTTTACAGTTGCAGGTCATGATGGCCATTAAGTGGAGCACCCCACGTGATCGCCTCGCTTGCGACTGCCCCATCCTTGCTTTCCTCAATCCAGTCATGAAACAAACGTGTGGGTGCAATGCAGCCCCTGCCTTGACCTCCCATAGCCCCTGAGACACCCCTTGCCCTGCTTTCCGCTCCTTGGGGTCCCTTCCTACCCCACTGAGTCCCATACCCTCACCCTGCATCTCCCATCATGCGCTTATCTCCCAAAGATCTCCAGAGCTTAGATCAGGGAGGCAAAGCAAGCCACTCTGTTGATTAACCCTGTAGTGCAATCCCACAAATGACTCCCATTTTCTGAACGACCACAATTCAGTGTGACCTCCCTGAAAATGGTGTCCGCTTCCAAGATCACACCACATAGCCCAGGAACACAGCGGTCTGTCCTTCTTTCCCGATCTGAGTTCCAGTGATGGTTGGAAGGAAGTGAGGAGGACAGTGTGTAGGAAGCAGCCTCAAGGCCTGTGGGGATTTTGTAGAGGAGTGATAATTTTGGGGGGGGGGGTGTGTGTCACTGCAGCATCTCTGCAGTTGGTTGTAAGATAAAGAACTAGAACAGTGCTGCAGCGACCACAACTTCAGGACTGGATTGTAGTAGCTTTTGCGCAGGTCCACTGTATTTTGAACAGTTACTAGACAACCGGACGTAAGTCAAGGGCCAGCTGTACAGGTAGTCCTTCACTTGCAACAGTTTGCTTAGTGACTGGTTCAAAGTTAAATCTGCCCTGAAAAAAGTGATCTATGTCCATTTTTCACACTTACGACCGTTAAAGCATCCCAATGGTCACGTGATCAAAATTCAGGTGCTTACCAACTGACTCATGTTTATGACAGCTGCAATGTCCCCGGGGTCATGTGATCCCCTTTTGTGACCTTCTGACAGGTAAAGTCAATGGGGAAGCCAGATTCAAGGTTGACTCAGACTTCCATCCTTCCAAATGAGGGTCCAGATTGTTGCGGGCAATATGCTGCCTCTGTAAACTGCTTAGAGAGCGCTGTAAAGCACTGTATATAGTGCTATTGCTGTTGCTATTGTTAGCTGGCATGCATGATTAATCATGAATGCTTAATTTAGTCATTGCTACAAAATGTTCACACACCCTGTGTAAGTCTTACTTAAATGTAAAGAGAACGTCCCTAATGCTAAGAGTTAATGTGAGATCAAATCCTCATAGGAAGCAGCTATAAAAAGAGAGAGAAAAAGATTTTGAGAAGAGAAACTAAGTGTTGCTTTCCCAGCCTGTTCCAAAAACCACAGCTTAATTTTTTTCCTCTCGGGACCAAATCTGGCATCTTCACAGACACTCTTTTGTGTTTCCCTATTTGTGTAATCTCTTAAAGATAAAATGAGAAGGAGATGTAGTTTTCATGGGTTGTTTTGCACATGTGCCAAGATAGTGTTGTTTTTAGGGAGGATTCAGTTAGACTTATCTCAAAGTTAACAATGAACAGTGCAATTTCAATAAACAGCAGCCAAGATGTACTTGAGGAAATTCCTTTCATAAACAACAGATGGCTCTTGATTAGTGCGGTTAATCAGTCCCATAAAATGGTTGCATTATTTGGATTACATTTCAAACCATTCATTTAGTGGCTGTTTGAAGTTACAATGGCACTGAATAAAGTGACATGACCATTTTTCACACAACCTTTGCAGCATCCCCATGGTTACATGACTAAAATTATGACGCTTGGCAGCTGTCTCATATTTATGATGGTTGCAGTGTCATGTAATTCCCTTTTGCGACCTTCTGATGAGCCAAGTAAATGGGGAAGTCAGATTCACTTAATAACTATGCTGCTAACTTAACAACTGCAGCGATTCACTTAACAACTGTGGCAACGAAGGTCATAAAATGGGGCAAAACCTAACAACTGTCTTGCTTAGCAAATGCTTGGCTCAAGTGTGGTCATAAGTTGAGGACTACCTATGTTAAAAGTGACATTTCTATGGAAAATATATGTAATTATTCCATCTTGATGAAGATAGGCAATTGAGTATTTTAAGCATAAATATGTATATGTTTGTTTGTTATGAAATAGTGCAGAACAATAATAGAGTTTAAGGTATACATATAGTCCTTACCTTATCACTGGTCACTTAGCAAACTTTTAAAGTTACAACCTACCTGTAAAGGGGGACTTGCGACCCACATCCTAAGTACCAGGGGTCAGCCTTCCCACAGTCACGTGATCACAACAAAACCCCATTTGGCAATAGCACTTAGACTTATATACCACTTCACAGCTCTTTACAGTGCTTTAAACCACTTTACTCTAAGTGGTTTTGGATCTCAGGGACCACCAAACACATAATTTTAAATCCCGTGGACCACTAATATGAATTTTGACCGATGGTGGCTTGCTGACGTTGGTGACCAAAGGGCCAGTCTTGTGACTACTGTAGCTCTGGAATATGGGACCAACTTTCCCACAAACATCAGGCTGAAGGGTGGGGGTCAGCAGGTGGGTGGGCCATATGGATGTGTGTGCAACTTTGTGTTCCCGCACAGCCTGGATTAATTGCTTTGGGAGGGGGGGACATTTCTCTGCAGACCACCAACATTTTCTCATGGACCACTAGCGGTCCCCAGCCCACCAGTTGGCGACCACTGCTCTAAGTTTATAGGGTCAGCCTTTTACTGCCAACAATCCGAGTCCTCATTTTACCAACTTCAGACCAATGGAAGGCTGAGTCAACCTTGAGACCTGTCAGGATTGAACTCCTGGCAGACAGCAGTGAGTTAACTGCAATACTGCATTCTAACCATTGTGCCACCAGGGTTCCTATAAATTGCATTCAGTTACAATGTACCTGAAAAGGGGGACTTAAGGCCCATATAAGTTCCAATTGTCCAGCAATCACATGATCGCAACACCTCTCTTAAGGCAGCATTCCACAGTCACAGCATTTTAGAACAGTTTTGCTGAAAACCAGCGCTTTCAATTTTCAGCCAGGCCAACTCTCATGCTTATGACTTCCACATTCACTTAATGGCCACAGTATTCTCTCTTACAACCGCCACGACAAACGATAGACCCTAATGGGTGTGTGTGTGACCATTTGCTACAGCCAACTCACCATGAGCAGTTCGCCAGAGGACAACTCACCGCGGGACAAGAGTTACTCTAATATCAAAGAAATGGTGGAATCAAATAATTAAAGTATTGATACTAAAGGAGGGACAGAATGAAATGGGAACGGCAAAAATTAAATCATTTATTTATTTTAAATAGTTAATTAGAATTGTCCCGGAATAGTGAGTTAACTGGTGAGTTGGCTGTGGCAAGTTGTCCCATTTTGGTAATGGACAGGCTCTGTTACGGTCATTTGTTGAGGACTCTGTACCTTCTGTTGATATCTAAAATGTACCTGTTACCATCTGCACTCAGTTACCTTAATTGTGAACTACTTGTAATTTAAACTTACGAATTTCACTGGGACTATTTTCAATTCCTCTCTGGTAGACATGCTATGCGATAAGTGAAATTATTTAGTGCTACAGGTAGCCCTCAACTTATGATAGTTTGTTTAGTGATGGTTCAAAGTTACAACAGCACTGAAAAAAAAATGACTTATGACCATTTTTCACGTGACTGTTGCAGTATCCCCATGGTCATATGATCAGAATTCAGATGCTTGGCAACTGACTCCTATTTATGACGGTTGCAGTGTCCTGGAGTCACGTGATCCCCTTTTGCAACCTTCTCACAAGCAGAGTCACTGCAGAAGCCAGATTCACTTAACAACCCTGATGGTAACTTATCAACTGCAGTGACTAGCTTAACAACTATGGCGAGAAAGGTTATAAAATGGGGCAAAACTCACTTCTGTCTTGCTTAGTGACAGAAACTTTGGACTCAATTGTGTTCGTAAGTCAAGGTGTACCTAAAATTGCAACTTACCTGTATTTTAAAATGAGGAATCTTGCAGGCTCCGCTGCTGATTTTTCATTGGTAAACATACTATGTCACCAGTTAAATTATTTAGCTGCATTTTCCAGGATTTAACATTGTACCTTCTTCACACTAGGTAACGGAAAAGGGGGTGAATCTATTTATGGAGGATACTTTAAAGGTAAGCTCCAAGCAGTTATTATAAACCTCCGTGGCTTCAGCTTTGCAAATTCCAATTTCAGCTTTTCATAACCAGGTTTATATAGTTCCTCTTGCATGAAAGTATAATATTGCATGGATATTCTCTGTGTGCATGAGAGTTTTAAAAGTCTTAAGACTGTAAATGTTAGCGTTAACAGTCAACATTTATGGCGGCAATTGTAGTGGTTAAAACTTGACTTCAGCATGGAGGCTAGCCAACTTGATTCATGCCAACTCCTGTCTTCCTGCCTAAAACTGTCAACATATTCTTTTGTTTATAGAGAATGTGATCTTTTGCAAAATGAAAAGGTAAGACACAAAAGCTCAACACAAATTCAAACTGTTCCCCTACACCCTTCCTAATAAATCTCTGGTCGGCTGTTAATGAATTTGTGGCTGGGTCCATGTAGCTTTGGAGAGGAACCCCAAAAATAAGTTTGAGAGGCCCAAGATGGCCTTGGGTTTGGAACAAGATGTCCTTGGGATGTCACCTACTTGTTTTTCAACTCAGGTGCTCCTTCCCTTTCCCTGCCCTTTTCGAAGTTTGTATGTGTCTTCTCAATTATTTGGGCATGTTTTAAACGTGATGGATTTTAATCGGACACAAAACAGTTTTTCTTGTTAGGTTGGTTCCAAATACATCCTGAACATACTTAGGTAGAAAAGAATAACCTTTTCTAAATGAGTTGCTTTGTACAAAATAGCATTCTAAATAAAAGTGCTTAATCATAGAATACAACAGCAATTATTCTTCTGTTCTTCTGCCAATCTGTATTGTAAAGGTTTTTGGTTCTTCTAAGATTTTGAATTGGGTAAGTACAGCTGTCCTGGTATTGTACAGTTACAGCTTTTAATAAAATTCAGGTAAAGCTGCCAGTAATCATCAGTCAAAACAGCATGTTGTAAAATGAGATTTTTCCACAGTGAAACTGAAAGAAATCTACGTGACGTTCTCATTTTGTTGATGGCTGTTGTTTGTAGTTGAGAATTAGCTTAAGAAACAAATCATAATTTAGTTACTGATAGAACATTTGTAGCTCAGGGTTGAACTGCGGTGCGAGGTCCCTGGTGCTCTCTCAGCTTGAGACATTAGGTGACCCAACTCGGTAACATCATCAGTGCTAGAAAGGAGTGGGCTTCTAGCTTCTAACATTCATGATGTTACCGAGTTGGGTCATGAAACGTCTACCAGAAAACTACCAAGCTCAAGAGAGCCCCAGGATGCCATGTAATTAGTTCAATTACTTTTGTGAAGGAGTCGAAGTGGTTTCTCTGTCCAGATCAAATAAAGAGGCTTTTTGTTGTAGAGGATTCTGTGTTTTCTGATCCAACCCCAACTTTTTTGCATGCTGGTGATTTTTAGCCTATGGATTTCTGGAGAAAATGCTTTGGAATTGTTCTTACCTTATTGCCAGTCAATTAACATTAAGGAAGTATCTACACTGGTGTTTCTCAACTTTGGCAAAGCTAAGATATGCAGGCTTCAACTGCCAGAATTCACCAAGGCTGGCTGAGGAATTCTGGGATTTGAAGTCCACACATCTTAAAAGGTGCCAGAATTGAGAAGCACTCATCTACACAGATTTTTTTTTAAAAAAAAACAACAATCTCAAGGCTTGTTGTCTTTTCACAAAGGAAAATTGAACTTCCTTAGTGCTCTTATTTCACGGAGACATTCACTGAAATGCAAGTTAACTGTGGTTGGTTGATGGTTGTGCCAAAGGAATATATATTGGTTCCGTGGAACTGCATGTGTGATCTGCTTATTCTGCAACCAGAGGAAATGTATTTCAACAGCAGGCCTGAAGAACTCTCTGCAATGTTGAAGAACAGCCAGAGATCCCACAAAAGCGGTGAACAAAATGGTAAAGTGGCTTGTAATACCGAAACTTCCGAATATTCTCAATTAAATGCTGCTCAACGATTGCTTGCGTGCAAACTGTCTTTCTAATGGCATAGATTGTTTTTGAGTTTTTACTGAAAAATGGGATAATTCTTCACGATTGATACTTGGAAAGGGTCTAATTGCCAGGGGAGGCTGATTTATCTCTGCTTTGTCTCCTCTTTCGAAACAGATGAAAACTTTATTTTGAAACATGACCGAGCCTTTCTTTTGTCAATGGCAAACAGAGGGAAACATACGAATGGTTCCCAGTTTTTCATGTAAGTAAACTTCATTTGAGAGTTGTGTTTTCTTAAAAGCCCAATCACTGTTCATAAGAAAGATGGTATTGCCAAAATATTTACTCAGAGGACAGGAACTGAAAGGCAGATGTCTGCTTTTTACCAATGAAAGGCAATTATTTGGTTTTCAGTGCTGATTTTAAATTCATTAGCTTTGCATGGTCCCTGCCAGAATATAAAGGCATTATCTTAAATTATTTATTATTCATGTTCTCTTACAAAAATCTCTTGAGGTGAATCTCAAATTCTGAAAAGCTTATTTCAGGCATTTTCTTTCGTGAAAGCAGTGGAATTCATAGCTTTTATCTGCCATCAATTCCCAGACCCCAAAGGGGTGTAGAGATGGTTTGGGTAGAGAGATCACACACATTTTCTTTTAACACATGAAAGGTGAAGATGGTTGCCATCTTAATGTTGCAGTGGGACACAGCCATCTTTTAGACATGCACCAGTTCCAGTGAGGAAAACCTCTTGAATATGTTTGAAGTTGGTCTAATAGAAAATACAGGTGGCCCTTGACTTAACAACCATTCATTTAGTGACAGTTCAAAGTTACAACGGCACTGGAAAAAAATAACACGACCATTTTTCATACTTATGGCCGTTGCAATATCTCCACAGTCACATGATTAAAATTTGGATGCTTGACAACTGGTTCATATTTATGATGGTTGCAGTGTTCTGGGATCATGTGATCCCTTTTGTGACCAGCAACATCAGTGGGGAAGCCAGATTCACTTAACATCTGCGTTACTAACTTAATAACTGCAGTGATTCACTTAACTGTGGCAATAAAGGTCATAAAATGAGCAAAATTCACTTAACTGTCTTGGTTAGTAACACAACTTTTGGGCTCAGTTGTAGTTATGAGTTGAGAACTACCTTTATAATCATCTACAGGCAGCCCTCAGCTTACAGCTGGCTGTTTAATGATGGAGCCTCCCAGAGCTACTTAAAATCCATTTTTGGAGTTATGACAGACACATGCAAACATACACACAACACACACCATGTTATATGACTGTAATTTGCATGCTTGCAACCAACTTACTTATGTAGGGCTCTTTGCAGCATCCCAAAGTCATGTGACTACTTTTCTACTCATCTTTGCGAGTTTCTGGCATCTGCTTCTGGTTTCTGGCAAAAATTACCTCTTAGGTGAAAATGGATTCACTTAATGACCACTGCATTTGCTTAATGACCGTTGTGAAAAAAAACTTGCAACTTCACACCTAGTAATGTGAACTTACAACCCTAATGATTTATGACTGTAATTCCAGATTCAATTACGGTTGTAATTCAAGGGCTACCTGTATAATAAAAGTTTATTTTGACCAGTGTTAATTTACAGATAGCCAGGTACAATGTAATTTTAACATTTGTTATGAAGATTCCATATTAATTTTTGCTCGCATTTTCTATCCCTTTGAAAATCTTACTAGAGTGGTAGAGTTATGTATTTGAGGAATTTGGTTACAAAACTTATTCCGAATTTTTAATTTTGTTAGCAAGAGGTACCTGTTAAAGTGAATTTAACCTGTTGTACTCCAAGTGATTTTGCTGGATTTTATTAGAATCTGTGGTTCAACATTCTCTCTTTTCCTATTCCTCCACCTATATTCCAGTATCAGCATTTAAAAAAACACAAGCTGTATTCATTTCATCTTGTGTTTAAGACAAGACAACTTGGATTTTTGGTATTTGATGAATTTTGGCTGTTACTGATTTCAAGCATGTTTAGTAGAACTCCTGTCCTGGTTGCTATATATGATGCTTTTTCCCCCTCAAGTTTGCCATCTTTCTTGATAAGAATGAATGGTGCTTCGTTACCTTCTTAAAGGGATCACTTTTTTAGAAGATTAAATTAAAAAGAGGTCTCTGCCATTATTGAATAATGTTCAGATAAGAGGTACATTTAGCTTACTTCCTAAGGAATGTCCCCAAAATGGAAAATCAATATAAAATTGGAAATAACTTTTACCTCGTTAGGAAGGTAATGCAGGTTTTATAGAGATTTCTGTGGTCTCATTTGGCAGACAGATGGTTTCCCTTATGCTTGAGATCGGCATGAATTAGACGTATAGTAGAAAATAAAAGTAATTCGTTAACTCTTCCATACTTTTTTCTAGTTTTCAAACTTTTCTGAACTAGCAAAGTACAACTTTGATATGGATCATGAAGCTAATGGGCTCTAAAGTTTATTTAATATTACGGCAGTATTTACAAGAGCACTTGATTAATACAGCTGATTATTTATTAAGTTTTTATGGCTTCCATCTCCCTTACAAGGTGACTATACTGCTTACAATTTAGAAAAACACATTAAGACTTATATCTTACAGTCTCACTTTTAGCAATAAAAGGTGGTGCCAGCAACTTATCATATATTGTAGTATAACTTTAAATTCTGTACAGTCCTGTGTAAGATAAGTTTAACAGTAGTTATGGGGAGATAGATATGCCCACTTTAATAATTATAATATAATTGTTACAATTAATAATTATTTGGTGAAAGAAAGACTAAATAAGTGAAAATGCAGCTGATGTAAGATAATCATGTTCTGCCATGACAGACTTTTAAGTTGTATTCAAACTCAACTAAGAGCAATATTACAGGTTCAATAAGTTTACAGCTTTTTGTGCAAAAGTAGGATACAGCTTTTGTCCCTTGCAAAGTACTGTTAGTCCTTGACTTATAATCATTCATTTGGCGACCATTCAAAGTTACAGTGGCACTATAAAAAGGGACCATTTTAAAACTTTTAAACAACCGTTGCAGCATCTCACTGGTCACATCAGAATTTGGATTTTTGTCAACTGGCATATACTTATGATGGTTGCAGTGTCACAGGGTCACGTGATCCCCTTCTGCGACCTTTTGACAAGCAAACCCAATGGAGAAAACCAGGTTCACTTAACAACTGTGTGACTAACTTAACAATAGCAATGATTTGCTTAGCAACTGTGGCAAGAAAGTTTACAAAATGGGGCACAATTAACGGCTGCCTTGCTTAGCAAAAAAAAAAAGGGGGGGGGGCTCATAGTGATCATAAGTGTTTATTATTATAAGTGTTTATAAGTGGCTGAAATTTAAAGAGCCACCTAGGTGGTCACCCTACTTAGCAACATCTTGAGGTGCACCAAGACTTTTCATAGGGAAGGGCTTAAACAATATTGCAAGGGCAAAAAAAAACAATATTTCTGCTCGTGGATTGAATTTTTAGGATGCCACTGCCAATCTACAAAGCAAGTTGAGAAGCAATAGAGTTTGAAACAAGGTATATTGTAAGAAATAAGTTATGGTACAATGCAGTGCTCAGTACAGGTTTTCTGGAGCCAGGGAAGCAACTCATAGAAAACTGACGGCAGAAAAAAGACCCAGTGATCCGTTTGAGAGTTTTTTGTGTGTTTTTGTTGCGCTTTTAGTTTCATTTATATCTTTACTTTTACTTTTTTATTTTATTGTTATTATTATTTATTTAATTGATTTTTGTTGGATGATGGACACGTGTTTATCCCAAGCATGTTGAAACTCAGTTAACTGGTGATAAAATAGGTGAGGATAACGGCTTAGAAGACAGTGATTTTTTTGTGTGTGCTGCTGATCGTATCTTCTCTCTGCCCCCACCCTCAGGCACACCCAAATATTAACATTTGTACTGCAAACTGCGGTTGGTTGAAATGGCCCATTATATATATATGTGGTTGACATTTTCTTTTTTTCAGTTGTAAATATTTTGGAACAGTTTTTCATCTTTTTCTAATGTGACTAGGAAGGATGGATGGGGAGAGAGAGACAGAGACAGAGACAGAGAGAGAGAGAGAGAGAGAGATGAGGTTTCTGATTATTCTACCTAGGATATTTAAGGTTTTCTTCAGCTTTGTTACTTTTCGGTTTTAAGTTCTGGGGTGGGGTGGAATTCTAAAAATTGATGGAATTCAAAGGTTATTGAACTGCACATGCTTGGGATTATTTCAATTGAAAAGTTGCTGCAAAAAAAAAAGTATCCCTTTGCATAATTTTCTTACACCTTTAACCTGAATTTTTTTTGGTGTCATAAATTGTTCCTTAAATAAGTATATGAGCCCTGTGGGAGTCTGCAGATAGGTGCAGATGAAACATGAATCAAGTGGTTGAAGCATTCAAACCACGCGAGGCCTGTTTAAAACGAGAGCTTTCACTTAACTAATCCCAGCGATTATCGCGATTTGTGAGAAGAATGGTATAACACACCCACATTTATTATAACCGTATGATTTCCGATCTCACTAGCATTTACAAGTGGGTCGAAAGCTTTACGTTACTGATTTTTTTCTGGCCTGTTAACAACCCAAAGCATCACCAAGATTAATCCTGCCTGCAATGCAGGGCTTATTCCTGACCGTGCTGGAAACCCAGATAATTCCTGCCTTTATTGATATTTATGTAGTGCTTTGATTTGTGGAAGGACCTTTTTAAAATGAGTGTCCCTCCCTATGCCTCTCTCCAACCCTTTTCTGAGTATAAGTCTTTTCAGTACAGTTAGCCCTCGATGTAACAACTGATCATTTAGTGGCTGTTGAAGTTGAAAAAAAGGGACTTACGGGCCTTTTTCACATTTACGACCGTTGCAGCATCCTCGTGGTCATGTGACCAGAATTCAGACACTTGGCAACCAACTCATATTTGTGACGGTCGCAATGTCCCTGGGTGTGTGTGTGTGTGTCATGTGATCCCCCTTTTGCAACTTTCGGACAAGCAAAGTCAATGGGGAAGCCAGATTCGCTTAACAATCTTGTGACTTAATTTAACAACTGCAGTGATTTGCTTACCAGTTGTGGCAAGAAAGTTGTAAAATGGGGCAAAATTCACTTAAGAACTGCCTTGCTTAGCAACGTAAATGTTGGGCTCAGTTGTGGTCATAGGTCGAGGGCTACCTGTAATCCTTTTTGTAACACAAACAAATCGCTCTAGTAACTTTACACATGTCATCATAACTTGCATGCAACAAGTCTAGGCAAACGACCAATGATTTGCTGGACAGAGAATTTTAATTGAGTCTTTTTTTTTTGTAGTGACTCTTCAGTGCCTAAACTAATCCTATTTCTACTGGTATAAACCCTGAACCCTAAACAAACAAAGGTGAACATAAAGAAAAATTAGAGCTCTATTTTTTTTTTAAAGTGACCTTGGTTTTGCATACACATAGAAAATTGCATTCAGCTGAAACGCAGAAAAAAAAAGTACTTAAAAGCTGTATTAAACATAGTCTCAAGTTTGTTTGGAATTGTACTACAATTTATTTCTTGCCATTTTTGTGTAAAATTTACAGAAACAGTGTTACATCGTGCGCTCCAAAGGTAATGTCTCATTCCTCTAAGGCTGTGTTCTTTCTTTCTCGCTTTCCCTCTTTCTCCCTCTTCCTTCCCCTCCTTTTCATTTTCTCCTTTCTGTCTTTCTTGTCTTTTTTCTGATCATATGTGAATTGAATCTTGTGGTGTTCTCCCTGGGGTTGAGAAAGAGAGAGACTTCTTTATAGCCCCAATTCAGGATAAACCATGCAAAAATTCTTACTAATTATAGAAGTAACTTTTTTCAGTTTTGAAATACAATTTTTTCAGTCATTTTTCTATAAGTGGGGGTTGGGTGGTGGGGTGGTGGGGTTTAAGTGGGGGATGGCTTTGAAAAAACAAAGAATACCTAGATCAGTAGTTGATATGTTCCTGCAAACTATTATCAAGGGGAAAAAAATAGTTAAATAGTTAAAATGTTCGTAGTTGGTTTATACCCACCAGTTTAAATAACCATACTTTGAAATTGGTATTTCAATAATATTAAACGCAAAGGTTTGAGTAAGCTGTTTTACACCCACCAGTTTAAATAACATATTTTGAAACAAGTATTTCAGTAATATTACATGAAAAGTTCTGAGCTTATAACACACTTCTATTTTGGAGGAAGACAATAGGTAAGGTATAGTTAAGAATTCTTGCTATTAATGCTGTTCAAACGTTTTTTTTTTTCTTTCTCCCTGTTTTTCTGAAAATGCTTTGTGTTTGAATTAAAGGCAATGATCCAAAGTATCTTTATGATGAAAACTAGTAAAAATACTTCAAAACTGATGGATACTTTAATTTAGAACTGGGGGGTGTTACAGTGATTCTCAATCTTATTAGCCTCTTGGTAATTTTTTCTAATTCTGGATTTCAGTTCAGTCACTTTGGTTGTATTTAAATTACACAATTCTGTTCATGTCCTCACTAGATTCGGGTTGTTTTATAGAAAGGGGAACTGAGGCTGAGTGAACCTGCTGAGATCTCCCGCCTCCCCCATACTTGGGCCAGAAATAACATTTCAGTTTATGGGCCTCAATTACAAGTATCTAATACGTATCTATATCTTTAATTCCCCTATTTAGTTCATACATATGAAATTCACTGCATACATAGTCTATGCAATTAGGCTTAGCCATAGCAGTAACACATTTAACAGCCACGTGCCGGCAAGCTAATGCTTAATATTTCTACTCCACATTTTTGAATATTCTTTAGCGTTTGGAGCACATAAAATGATTCTTCTTCTGTCTGTTCGTTTCTCTGAAGGCACAAGGCTATTCCAACAGAGTAACACTGCTTAATCTTTTAGTTGACTTAAGAAAGACCCCGCTTGCCTCCCAGTCCTCATTTCATTCCCGACAGATTTTGCTTCTTTTCTCTTTGCAAAAAGGAATGATAATAATAAGAACTCGCATTTCTGCTTCCTGAATCAAATGCCCTAATGGGCCCCGTGTTCTTTATTCATTTTAAGAGCTCAAAGAGCCAGGCAGCTGCATGTTGATCCTTGCCTGTTTTCGTGTCCCTCAGGGCTTGAGAGCAGACGGGTCAAACAGAATAACAGAGCTAGAAAAAAGACCCTGGAGGTCTTCTAGTCCAACCCTCTGCTCAAGCAGGAAGCCCTGTAACGTTTGAGGCAAATGTCTGTAGAGACCGCCCTGCCCGTGTTGACTTGATCAGCAAATAATTCTGTTAATTTTTCTAGCTTTGCAGAAAGGAATAGTAGGTAAGTTGCCTTACTGACCACGGGCCCTGAAATAATCATCCCCTGTATGGGCAGGGTGAGAGCCCCAGTCGAAAAATGAGACCTGACCAACAATATTTGTAAAATCTTCAAAACAACAAGGTCATGTTTGCGGCTGATGAGACTCACATTGTGATTGTATCTAGAGGGGATCTGCTAGTAAGATACGTTCTGTGGTATTTTGAGCAAGCACATATCAATACAGCAACAGGTACTCTTCTACTTATGGCTGGTTGCTTAGCCGCTCTTCAAAGTTGTGGCAGATTCCGAAAAAGCATTTATGGCCCAGATTGAAAGTTCTGACAGCTACCACCCCCACCCCACCCCCAATCACATGATCATATTTTGGGCATCTGGCAACCAACTCCCATTTATTGGGTCCCATGCTCACATGACCATGATTTACATTTTTTTTGGCAGAAACTGGTGTTTTATATTGCCTTCAGGCAAAAGAAATTGGCCATTTCAGACTGTCTTACTTAGCAACCGAAATTTTGGGCTCAATTGTGACCGTAAGTTGAGGACTACCTGTGCTTTGGATATAATATCCATCCTTATTACCATTAGATTTTCCTCTAGTTAAAATGATCCAGGGAACAGTTGCTGAGTTCTGAGACTCAAAAAAAGTAAATGATTGATACCCTACTTGAAAGAATGAAAATTCAATAATAATGTGTACTTTGGATTGCTTCCTTCCATCAAAGGTAGGCATTGCAAAAAAAAAAAAAAAAGGACTTATTTTCAATAGACATTGGCCAAAACACACCAGGACAGTATATTGCTTTATAGCTAATTAATACAGAGGCATTTTCTGTGGTAACTTCAATAGACACTTTCTGATAATTAAGTAGGTAGCCACGATGTTGTCTTTGAAAAACAATTCCTTCCCCTAACAAATAAACGGCCCACTGATTCCTCTCTGCAGATTGTCAATAGATTATTGTTTCAAAGGTTCCATGTATTTTAGCCTAGAAGATAAAATCACAGAGAGATATACTTAAAGCCACAACAACCATACATGATATTTCACATTTGCAGTCAATGTGATTGAATTTATTTTTCAGTAGATAAGTATATGATTGGAGGCTTTGCCATGCCATAAGCTTAACATTCTGACTTTGTTTGGGATTGTAATTTAACATTATCATCCCCTACCCACTCACTCGTAGAACGAGCAGTGGCTTTTTTATTCTTGAAACACAGGCTGCAAAAAAGGCATAAAAACCTCTTTACTCTAAACTTTGACAGGTCATCAGCTATTTTCCAAAGCTATGAATGATTCTGTGTGGCTTTGCTGACTTAGAAAAACAATTGGAGGACAAGTTGGTTTGAAACTATTATATACTATTGTATGCCTAATACATTTTTACTTTAAAGATTGTGGTTTTGTGCAGTAACAAACATATTAGCAGCCTCTAATTTATTGTGTACTGTTGCCAACATCCAAACTGTAATTGTGAGTATTTCAAATGCGAGTGAATCCATGGTTCAGTTGGTAAAATAGAGACACTATCTACACTATTAGCATTTAATTTTAATCAAAAATGAAATTCAAGTGTAGCATTATATTGTAGTATATGACAAAAGGTGATACATTTTCTGAGTTTAATACCACTAAGTTTATCTATTAAATTAACAGCTATGTTTTTTTCTTCCCTTACTTTTATTTTATTTTTACCTGCCATTCTATCTTTTTGCTTCTTCAACTGAAAATCTGATTTGCCCTCCAACAATAAACGTCTTGTGTATATTGATGTTGAGCAGAACTACGAAGCCTGCTCCTCACCTTGATAGGTAAGCACCCCCCATTCCTTCCTGTTAGGAACTTTACATTAGTCTTAACAAAACTAGGCTGTATTCAACATGAGGTTTTTTGCCATCCTATCACAAATTTATGGCAAGTATTGGGAGGGCGGGGGTGTTGAAACCAGAAAAGATTGAAAAAACCTCTTTTATCCAAGAAGAGGCAGGTTGTCTGGTGGTTAAGGTACCTTGCTGGAAGCCAAAAGATTGTTTAATTTAGTCCCTCCTTAGGCATCAAAGCTGCTTGATGATTTTGGACCAATCACCATGAGTGATTGGGTCCTGCCTTAGGCATGAAAGCCAGTTGGATGATTTGAAACCAATTGCCAGAAGATGGTGAGTTCTAGTCCTGCCTTAGGCATGAAAGCCAGTTGGTTGACTTTGGGCCAATCATGAGGAGATGGTGAATTCTAGTCCTGCCTTAGCCATGAAAGCCAGACTGGGCTAATCTCTCTCTCAGCCCAACTCACCTCACAGGTTTGTTATTATGAGGAAAATAGGAGGAGTTTGCCTTATTAGGAATATTTGCTAACTTGAATTATTTATAAAAATAATAAACATGGGACAGAAATAAATAAATGAGAATGAGAAAGGCACAAGATTCATAAAACCCCTAGTGTGGATAAAACCTTCCTTGGGGGTGATGTGTTCTTTGTAAAAATGATAAAGGTGGGATATAAATAAATAAACTAATATTGATAATTATTGGATTCTTTGTTTGGGATTGATTAGGTTTATAAACTGCCTCACTATGAAGGTTCCAGTTCAAAGTATGACATCCATGGGCCTGAATACAAATAAACATTCTTCATTTAATCTAATTTCAGGTCCTTAGTTTCTAAGTTTGCAGGGATACAGTTATTCAACCCACCCTTTACAATCAATTATCCACCAAGTAGCAGCCGTTGCTTTAGTCATCCCAGCTCCAGCAAAGGTGGTGGAAAGATTTCTGCTTTGCTTATTTGTTTTCTCTTTAAAAGGGAAATAAAGAGATTTTTAAAAAAAGAGAGAAAAAACAAAACCTGAATCACTATTGGTAGATTGGGAGAGGGGACTTTACCACCGTTACTTTTTTTGTCTCTCCTCCAAGAGCCAGTTGGGTGTATTGACAACAACAGAGAAAACTGTTTTTTTGCAAGTCTTCATTTTAAGTGCCACAAAAAAGAAAAATTAACCTGAGGGAGTTAATTTCATCCATAGCAAAAGTAGGTTATGCTGGGGGCTAAATGTAAATTGGCCATTTGGACGATTAAAGGTAGTTCTCAACTTACATTCATTTAAGTTACAACAGCTCTGAGAAAGTGACTTGTGACCATTTTTCACTCTTATGACCGTTGCAGCACCCCCATAGTCACATCACCAAAATTGAGATGCTTGGCAACTGACTCATTATTTATGATGGTCGTGGTGTCCCAGGGTCATCTGATCCCCTTTGGCCACATTCTGACAAGCAAAGTTAATGGGGAAGCCAGATTCCCTTAACAAATGTGTTACTAACTTAATATCCACGATTCCTTTAATAACTATGGCAAGACAGGTTGTAAAATGGGACAAAACTTACTTAACAACTCTCTGGCATAGCAATGGAAATTTGGGGTTCACTTGTGATCTGAAATTTTGGGTCTCTGAAAGCGGCTCAAACCAGCTTGCTTGAGGAACAGAAATGATGGGCTCATCTGTGATTATAAGTCGAGGACTACCTGTAGGTGGTTGTAGAAAACCCATACAACACACCCAGGGAATAATTTAGCGTGAACACAGCTGGCAAGTTGTCTCTTTTTATATAGTCTGGTATACCTTTGGCATTTTCTGTTTTTGTAGCGTCCATGTCGTCTTTGGACTCGTTATTTCTGGTTTTGAAGTCATAGAACAAATTGAAAATCTGAAAACTGATTCTGCCAGTAGGCCATATGCCGACGTGCGCGTCATTGATTGTGGGGTGCTGGTTACCAAACCGGCAAAAGAAGGTAAGCCTTTCTTTCATGTAGACATGCCTCATGGCAAAAAGGATCCTAGAATCTATGCAACATTGAATTTGAATTAGGATCCTGGAAACCATTTTCTGAAGCTCTTGGAGGATGTGTACCTTGGATAATGTACAATCACTCTGGCCCGATTCTGTTGCGATCCTAGGGAAGGCGTTATTGGATGCTTAATTCTGAATTAAGAAAACGTACTTGTAAAATAAAGGCCCATGTAAATATATTCGATACCTATTATATGAAATTATTGTTTGGGGAGAATATTTGCAGTGCAGAGCTGAACTGTGGGATCTGAGCTTTGGTGGTTTTCTTGCAGACATTTCATGACCCAACTAGAAAACATCATCAGTCATTACTCTTTTAAGACCGATGATGTTACCTAGTCGGTTCATGCAACATCTGTAAGAAAACCGCCAAGGTCAAAGAGCACCAAGGAGCTCTCAGTCTTCCTCCCTCCGCACTCCCCTCTACCACTGATTGTTTTGCCTAGTTTGATAATGAAATGTCTCCAAGGAAGCAACCAAGCTCAGACAGGACCAAGGACTCTTCTCCCTCCTCTCCACAAAGCACACTCCTTTCTAGTACAGTTGATATTACCCAATTGGGTCATGAAACGTCTGTAAGGAAACTACCAAGCTCAGAGACCACCAAGGATCCCACAGTCCACTCCTCCACCCTCTCTCTACAACCTCCCCTCCCTTCTAGCACTGATGATGTTCCCTAGTTGTGTCATGAAACATCTGCAAGAAACACCAGCAAGCTTGTAGAGTACCAAGGACCCCACAGGTTTCCTCCAAAACCCCACTCTCTTTAGCATTGATAAACGTTACCTAGTTTGGTAATGAAAGGTCTACAAGAAAAGCACCAAGCTTGGAGAACGTTAAGGACCCCTCATTTCAACCCTGAGCTATAAATATTTTCCTACATTGGTATCATGTACTATATGTAATTGTGAAACAACACCCCCCCAAAAAAAATATATAATGAACTGTAATTGTTAATTCTATTACTGACAATTGTCAATGCATGTGTTTTCTAGAGGTTATTAAAAAAAAACATGTGACTTTATCCTCCCTAAGTGTTGGAGAAGAAGCGGAAAGCATGGAGTCAGTCAGAAGCTTCCGATAGCTCCTCCAGCAGCACTTCCACATCATCGGAATCGTCTTCCGACAGCGAATATGAAAATGAGCGGAGCAGAAGAAGGAAGAGGAAGAGGCGGAACAAGGCTAAGCAGTCTAGGAAACGGAGACGGGAAGAGAGGAAGAAAGAGGAAACAAAAAACAAACACAAGTCAGTCTATAAAGAGTCTCAAACATCCAGGTCAGTTGTCCCAAAGGTGCTTTCTCAAAAGGCAACTGGTGTTTTTATTTGATGACATTTTGCTTCACATTTATATCCCTTGCAGTCACCCGGTTGTTAGGAAACTCTCTCAGAGTCGTTGAGGACACTTGAAGAATATCTGTGTCCCCAAGGTCATCTGAATAGTGCAGATGGGTTTGGAACCTTCTTGGAACCGCTGAAAGGACTGGGTTATAAACGGGAGATAGGTGGTGTATTCCAATCCCCCTCTGTTGAAAGAGGGCTGTTCGATCTTAATGTAGATGGCCTCTTGGACCCCTCTTTCAAACAACGACCCTCTCTGTCCAAAATGTGGACTTTGCTGTCTTCCAAAGAGCCGCCTTTGTCTTTCAAATGCAGACGGGTTGCTGAATCTCGTCCCGATGGGTTTGTTCTCCTATGTTGTGCCATCCGTTTGTGGAGTGGCTGTTTTGTTTCCCCAGTGGACAGATCTGCACATGGCTCACTGCATTGTACTGCATAGACCACAGTTCATGTCTGGGTGTTTTATCTTCGTTTAAATTTTTTTTAAAAAATAAGCCTTTTGGAGCCCAGCAGCCTCCAACACTGCATCTGTCTCTCATGTCAAAATGTAACACCTCAAATTCCTAGCAAGCATACAGCTGTGGTTCTAAAACTACATTTAAAGACAGGGATATAGTCCTTAACATACGACCATAACTGAGCTGAGAGTTAGGGTTCTAAGTCATGTTAAGTAGCTCACCAAGTGACTACAACTGGGTTTAGGACCGTTTTTGCAGCAGTTGTTATGTAAATATCTTGGTTGTTCAGCAAACAATGCGGTCGTTAAATACTGCAGTAAAACAACTCCTTTTGGGTGGAAACCAGAAATACAGGTAGTCCTTGACTTACGACCACAATTGAGCCTCCAAATTTTGTTACTATGCGAGACAGTTAAGTGAGTTTTGATCCACTTTACACTTTTCTTGCCACCATTGTTAAATGAATCACTGCAATTAAGTAAGGAACGTGGTTGTTAAATGAATCTGGCTTCCCTATTGACTTTGCTTGTAATAATATCACAAAAGGGAATCTCATGACCCCAAGATAGCACAACAGTTGTAAATATCAACTAGTTGCCAAGCGCCCGAATTTTATTCAAGTGACCATGGAGATGCTGCAACGGTCATGTGAAAAATGGTCACAAGTCACTTTTTTCAGTGCCCTTGTAACTTTGAACAGTCCCTAAATGAATGGTTCTAAGTTGAGGACTACCTGTAAATGTTAGAAACTTGCAAAAGTGCCCAAAGTCATGGTTAGACAACTGGGACATTGCAGTCATAAAAGGAAACAAGTTGCCAAGAGCCCAGATTTGATCATGTGACTGTGAGAGGGGGAATGCAGCTGCTATAACTTCGGAACTTTGTTGTGAGTAACTTTTGTGGGGGGAATATTCATCCTCATTAAAAGATTGGTTGTTAAGTGGAAAATTCCTGTATGTTTCCATGGATATTGTTAGAGTTCATAAAATTCTGTTCCAAGGAATCTGAAGAGTGAAGAATTAAAACTGGACAGCAGAGAAAGCAGCTTTAATTATCAAAAAAGAAGTGAATTAGATCAGCAGTTGCCAGTCGGTGGGCCGCAGAGAAATCTCACCCCCAGAGCACTCCCCCAAAGCAATTAATCCAGGCTGCGCAGGAACACAAGGCTGCGCCGCCCACCTGGCCCGCGGGAGCCCTCCCCACCCACTCACTCCTTACCCAGCAAACTTGCCTGCTAAATTGCTATTTTTCCTTTTTCCCCCCCCGACCATCAGCTGTTCTGCTGTGCCTGGAGATTTAGATTAGCTAGGAAGCAGGAAATGGTTGGATTTCTTGCTTTCTAGCTAGTCTTTAGATCTTCGGCTTTGCTTTTAAGCACAGGCGAGCGAACCTCCCTTAGGACTGAAGGTTCTATTATTCAGTGCAGACTCACGGCAAGCAAATTTTATGTGACAGGCTGAGCTAGCCAATGGCAAATAGATAGATCACTGAGTAATTTTGTGAACAACTCAATCTGCCTGCCTGCTTTGCCTGATTTTGGGTAAAAGTTGCTCTTTTTTTAAATAAAAAGTCCAATATTTACATACATGGTGTATTGTGAGTTAATTTTGTGAGTTTGCTTGCAAACAAATTTTATGTGACAGACTGAGCTAGCCGATGGCAGACAGATAGATCACTGAATGATTCTGTGAGCAACTCAATCTGCCTGCCTGCCTTGCCTGATTTTGGGTAAAAGTTGCTCTTTTTTAATTAAAAAAACCCCAATATTTATATAAATATAATATTTACATACAAGCCATGCCCAGCCAGTCACATGACCATCAAGCCACACCCACAAATTAGGCCACACCCACAGATCCGGTAAGTGGTCCCTGGGATTTAAAACTATGAGTTTGGTGGTCCCTGAGGTCCAAAAGGTTGGCGACCCCTGAATTAGATGATTTTTTTAGCAGCAAGGGGTAGCTTTGTTACTTACACTTATATCAGACCTGACATATAGTTTAGTTTAGGCACTCATTCCCTGCTGATCGTTTTGCTTGGCTTTTCAAACAGGTGCGAAGTAACCTCGGTGGCCCTAAATCGCTCTCTTTCCTCCAGCCACTCGGACCGAAGTGAAACAAACGAAAAATCAATAGACTTGAACATGAAAAGGGATAAACCTGTCGTCCGTCCAGAAGAAATCCCTCCTGTGCCGGAAAATAGATTTTTGCTAAGAAGAGATATGCCCATTATAAGTACAGAGCCAGATCTGTATGCATTTCACTTATTTTTAATTTTTTGTGTCGTCTTGATTTGCAACCTAAGTGACAGAACAAAATATACCTATTTATGCAAGTAGTCCTCAAGTTACAAATGTAATGGAGCCTGTCAATTACATTTGTAACCTGAGGATTCGTTGGAGTGAATCACATCAAACAAACATGATCACATCCTGCTTTCACCCACACATTCATTAATCCAATGCCCGAGTCGTTAAGTGCACATGAGGTGGGGGTGCCTAGTGATGGAACAGGCCACCTGCCTAAGGGCACCCAAGGTTTCTCCATTGGCAAAGCCTTTTGCCTCAGATCTGGTCCAGGCCTCGGTTTGCAGAGAACAGAAGCCTAAAGTGCTGTACTGTGAGATCAATAGTGCAAGATCTCAGACTACTGATCTTGCATGATCTTGCACTACTTTAGGTCTGTTTTGCTCCGCAAATGCACCCAAGCAGGAAAGGGAACCGTTAACGGCTCGCTAGATTGTCACAAGGTGAGTCTCCAAAGGCCCACTGCCTATGGAGACCTGGTCCCGAGGGGAGGGGGGATAGAAAGGGCAAATGTGTTATAAATACTTGGGAGGGTTATGTCGTAACTTCAAACGGTTGCTAAGTGAAATGTCATAACCCAAGGATTATCTGCATTTCAGATATTAACTGAAAATATTGTATATTTTAGGAGCTGAAATCTTTCCTGCTGGGAGGGAAGTTGTAGCTACCTATGCCTCTTATCTTTGGTACAGGTAGTCTCAACTTACAGCCACAATTGAACCCAAAATTTCTGTTACTAAACAAGACAGTTGTTAAGTGAATTTTGGCCTGTTTTATTCCTTCCTTTGTTGTTAATTGAATCACCACAGCTGTTAAGTTAGTAACAGGTGTTAAGTGGATTCAGTTTCCCCGTTGACTTTGCTTGTCAGAAGGTCCCAAAAGGGATCCCATGACCCCAGGACACTGCAACTGTCATGAATAGATAACAGTTGCCAAGCACCCACATTTCGATCACATGTCTGGGGATGCTGCGATGGCCATAGGTGAGAAAAATTGTTATAAGTCATTTTTTTCAGTGCCTTTGTAACTTTGAACGGTCACTAAATGAATGGTTGTAAGTTGAGGACTACCTGTAATATCCTGCGTAGTTTCTACTAAATCATTGAAGACAAGACTGTCTTTTATTTCCAGTTCTGTCTAAAAATGGACCAGTTTGAAATGTTACAAACTCTGGTACTCTCAAGCACTGACTGAAATGTCATAGTCTCTTCTCAGTTCTTGGACCATAAGATTAATTCTCTCATAATGTCAGTTTTTGTGGGATCCATGGTGCTCTCTGAACTTGGTGGTTTTCTTGTAGACATTTTGTGACCCAACTAGGTAACACCATCAGTGATAGAAGGGAGTGAGATTTGAACTTCTAGCACTGTTAATGTTACCTAGTTAGATCATGAAATGTCTGCCAACCCCCCCTCCCCCCTCACCCTTCAGGGATAACCAAGGGACCCATAGTTGTCATGTTACATTGCTGTTGCACAAGATATGTTGGTTTAAAGCCCTTTATATAGCATTGTCTCATCCTAATGGAATTGGCCCTCCTGACTTGTTCATCAGGAGGGGTGTGCTGTGTATGCTGTC